TCTAGTTCAGTTCTAGTTCAGTTCTAGTTCAGTTCTAGTTCAGTTCTAGTTCAGTTCTAGTTCAGTTCTAGTTCAGTTCTAGTTCAGTTCTAGTTCAGTTCTAGTTCAGTTCTAGTTCAGTTCTAGTTCAGTTCTAGTTCAGTTCTAAGTTCAGTTCTAGTTCAGTTCTAGTTCAGTTCTAGTTCAGTTCTAGTTCAGTTCTAGTTCAGTTCTAGTTCAGTTCTAGTTCAGTTCTAGTTCAGTTCTAGTTCAGTTCTAGTTCAGTTCTAGTTCAGTTCTAGTTCAGTTCTAGTTCAGTTCTAGTTCAGTTCTAGTTCAGTTCTAGTTCAGTTCTAGTTCAGTTCTAGTTCAGTTCTAGTTCAGTTCTAGTTCAGTTCTAGTTCAGTTCTAGTTCAGTTCTAGTTCAGTTCTAGTTCAGTTCTAGTTCAGTTCTAGTTCAGTTCTAGTTCAGTTCTAGTTCAGTTCTAGTTCAGTTCTAGTTCAGTTCTAGTTCAGTTCTAGTTCAGTTCTAGTTCAGTTCTAGTTCAGTTCTAGTTCAGTTCTAGTTCAGTTCTAGTTCAGTTCTAGTTCAGTTCTAGTTCAGTTCTAGTTCAGTTCTAGTTCAGTTCTAGTTCAGTTCTAGTAGTTCAGTTCTAGTTCAGTTCTAGTTCAGTTCTAGTTCAGTTCTAGTTCAGTTCTAGTTCAGTTCTAGTTCAGTTCTAGTTCAGTTCTAGTTCAGTTCTAGTTCAGTTCTAGTTCAGTTCTAGTTCAGTTCTAGTTCAGTTCTAGTTCAGTTCTAGTTCAGTTCTAGTTCAGTTCTAGTTCAGTTCTAGTTCAGTTCTAGTTCAGTTCTAGTTCAGTTCTAGTTCAGTTCTAGTTCAGTTCTAGTTCAGTTCTAGTTCAGTTCTAGTTCAGTTCTAGTTCAGTTCTAGTTCAGTTCTAGTTCAGTTCTAGTTCAGTTCTAGTTCAGTTCTAGTTCAGTTCTAGTTCAGTTCTAGTTCAGTTCTAGTTCAGTTCTAGTTCAGTTCTAGTTCAGTTCTAGTTCAGTTCTAGTTCAGTCTAGTTCAGTTCTAGTTCAGTTCTAGTTCAGTTCTAGTTCAGTTCTAGTTCAGTTCTAGTTCAGTTCTAGTTCAGTTCTAGTTCAGTTCTAGTTCAGTTCTAGTTCAGTTCTAGTTCAGTTCTAGTTCAGTTCTAGTTCAGTTCTAGTTCAGTTCTAGTTCAGTTCTAGTTCAGTTCTAGTTCAGTTCTAGTTCAGTTCTAGTTCAGTTCTAGTTCAGTTCTAGTTCAGTTCTAGTTCAGTTCTAGTTCAGTTCTAGTTCAGTTCTAGTTCAGTTCTAGTTCAGTTCTAGTTCAGTTCTAGTTCAGTTCTAGTTCAGTTGTAGTTCAGTTCTAGTTCAGTTCAGTTCTAGTTCAGTTCTAGTTCAGTTGTAGTTTACTTCCAAAGAGTGACATTTATCACCACATCAAAAGTAGCACTTATTTAATTTTTAACTTTCTGAGGAAGTGAGGTATTTTTTCAATTTTGAAGATATTTTTTTTGTTCCCACATTTTATCAGATTAATAATGTTATATTTGGGCTTTTGTATTAAATGTGTCTATTACCCTAATTAATATTAATATTATTTAAGTCAAATTAGTAGTATAATATTACAATTTCACTTCCAAATAACTTCAAAAAAAAGAGCATTAAAATCACTTCTTGAGAATGACTTCAAAAGTAATGAATTTGGAATTAAATAAAAAGGACAAGCCTGTGTTTAAATCATCTTTTCATGTCTTTTTCAGTACGTCCATTAAGTAAATTCTACTTCTTTTTTGCTTCTTTGGAAGTTTTTCTAGTTTAGTTCCAGTTCCGTTCGAGTTCATTTCTAGTTCATTTAGAGTTTAGTGTTAATTTAGTTCTAGTTCAGTTCTATATACATGTGCACATTTTGTTCTTATTTCCATCTGTCCAGTTTAAGGGCACTAAAATGACACACTTCTATGTTATTGGTATTATAGTTTATATATATTTATATATTTAATACGTTTTTACATTATAACAAGTTAGAGTGCTATATTCGGCTATGCCGAATCTTAAATACCCTCCACCAGCAAGCTACTTTTTATTGAAACCCATTTAACTATCTAATTTTTAGATAAGTCACCAAAATTTTTGTCGAACTAATGTTGATTAGGTCCAGAAAAATTTAGAATGACTTATCTATACACAGAACTTACTTATGTCGAATTTTATCCGGATATAATAATTTAATAACGAATTAAGTGGTATTAAGTGATTTTCAACAGTTAACCTTATATGGGAGCTAAGACAACTTCTGGACCGGTCCGGAAAAAATTCCGTATGATTTATATACATATATACAAAATACACATTTATGTCAAATTTTATACCTACATGTGTATAAAATGTGCGTTTAAGTAATTTTCAGTAATGGCCCTTATATGGGAAAAATTGTATACCTATGTATAAAATGTGCGTTCAAGTAATTTTCAGAAATGGTCCTTATATGGGAGTTGTGACCAATTATGCACCGAACAGGAAACAATTTCGTATAATGCAGAAAAAGATCAAGTATAATTTTACTCCAATAGGTGCGTTTAGGTGATTTTAGGAAGTGGACTTTATATAGGAGCTATGAGCAATTAAGGGCCTATCCGGAAAAAATTTCGTAGAGTGATTTATGTAAAGACAAAACATATAAGTGTCGAATTTTCTCAAGATAACTTTATTTGACAATGAAATATGTGCGTTTAAGTGATTCTCAGAAGTGGACCTTATATGGGAGCTATGACCAATAATGGACCGATCCGAGAAAAAAGTGGTAAAATGATTTTATGTACACGAAACTTATTCAAGTCAAATTTTATTCCTATAGCTTAAGAATTCAATGAAATATATGCGTGTAAGTGTTTTTCGGAAGTGGGCCTTATTTGATAATGAAATATGTGCTTTTAAGTGATTTTTGTAAGTGGGCCTTATATGGGAGTTATGACCAATAATGGACCGATCCGTAAAAAATTTTGTAAAATGATTTGTACGTACACAAAACATATTCAAGTCGAATTTTTACCCGATAGCTTTAGAATTCAATGAAATTTATGCGTTTAAGTGATTTTCGAAAGTGGACCTTAATGGGAGCTATGACCAATTATGGGCCTATCCAGAAAAAATTTCGTAGAGTGATTCATGTTTAGGCAAAACATATTTATGTCGAATTTTATCAAGATAGCTTTACTTGACATTGAAATATGAGCTTTTAAATGATTTTCGGAAGTGGGCCTTATATGGGAGCTATGACCAATAATGGACCGATCCGTAACAAAACTAGTAAAATGATTTGTATGTATACATAACATATGTGAGTCGAATTTTATCCCGATATCTTTATAATTCAATGAAATATATGCGTTTAAGTGATTTTCGGAAGTGGACTTTATATGGGAGCTATGACCAATTATGGACCTATCCGGAAAAAATTTCGTAGAGTGATTTATATTCACACTAAACATATTTGTGTCGAATTTCATCAAGATAGCTTTATATGACAATGAAATATGAGCTTTTAAATGATTTTCGGAAGTGGGCCTTATATGGGATCTATGACCAATAATGGACCGATACGTAAAAAATTTTGTAGAAAGATTTGTGTGTATACAAAACAGATTTGTGTCGTATTTTACCCCGATAGCTTTATAATTCAATGAAATATATGCGTTTAAGTGATTTTCGGAAGTCGACCTTATATGGGAACTATGACCAATTATGGGCCTATCCGGAAAAAGTTTCGTAGAGTGATTTATATTTAGACTAAACATATTTGTGTCGAATTTTATCAAAATAGCTTTATTTGACAATGAAATATGAGCTTTTAAATGATTTTCGGAAGTGGGCCTTATATGGGAGCTATGACCAATAATGGACCGATCCGCAAAAAAATTTGGTAGAATGATTTGTATGTACACAAAACATATCCAGCTCGAATTTTATCACAATAGCTTTATTCATCAATGAAATACGTGCGTTTAGGTGATTTTCGGAAGTGGACCTTATATGGGAGCTATGACCAATTGTGGACCGACTGAGATCTACGTTGGTAGTATGATTTCTGTTCATATTATATTTGTATGTACAAAATTTGGTGTTGATACCGATATATTTGATTGAGTTATTAACGATAAACTAATTTCCGGGAATATATACCTTTGTATGGGGGCTATGGGAAATATTGGATCGATTGTAAAGATTTTGAACATAATTGATCACTGCCCTAAAAAAATAAAGTGTGACAAAATTCATCGCAAAATCTTTGGTAGTTTCTGAGAAAACTTCAAAAGAATTAGGAAAAAAACGTAATTTTTTTCGAGGTAGTCTGAAATTTTTACTCATAACTTTTTACGTTGTGAACCGATTTTGCTGATTTTCAATACCATACTGCTTAGGATAATAATAAATATTTTGGGTGAATTTGGTTGATTTCCTTTACTTAGTTTTAACGTGAGCGTGTTTTACACAGACAGACAGACGGACAGACGAACAGACGGACATAGCTAAATCGACTCAGAATTTCATAAGGACCCAGAATATATATACTTTGTTGGGTCTTAGATGAATATTTCTTGGTGTTACACACGGAACGACAAACTTATATATACCCTCTATCACCACTGATGGTGGTGGAGGGTATAAAAATAAATCATGTGAATAGTAATAAAGTGATCCTAATACAGGTTCTGGTGAAATTAGAGGTAGATCTCAATCCTTGCTCTGAGTTCCTGTGCTTATCCTGTACTTGCAGAGCACATTTTTATGCACTTTTGCTGATAACTGGCATAATCTTCTTTAATCGGATAAACTCTTCAGATGACAGGTTTTATTTTTTTAAACAATTATTTTTTTAACATGACTCTGGAACAATCGAAAACAATTGAGATATGCGTTGAAATTTTTTTGAAATTTTTTTTCTTTACTCGGAAACTAGTTTTCTAAAATTTTTAAGTCTATAGTTTTGTGATTTACGATCGTATAGTATGTACATATATATTTTAAGATGTTTATGATGATGTTGTATAATTATTGATTTTAGCACTTCGATTGTTTTGGATATATACTATTATGATAATTACAATTTTAACGATTATTAAACCAATGTGATATGAACATTTTCCTAGTAGTTCTGATAGTGTTTTTAGTACAATGGATATGCTGTTCTCCGATTGTTGTTCATCTTTTTGAGATTCAAAAATGTATTCTTTTGCAGCACAATTATTATTCATGTTTATTGCAATGGCCTCCAAATTTGTTTCATCATCTTCTTCGGCCTCAATCTCAATTACAGAATTACAGCCATTTTGTAAAAACTCTTTTGCCTCGTCGTCTTGTTTTTCGGAATTTTTATTAGATTTTCCTGTAGTCCATATAAATAGTGCATGCACAAATTCGAAGAAATGAGATATCATTTTGGAGCTTAAAAAAAACAAAAATAGGTTTAAACAAGGCCTTACAAAGGATATTACAAAATTGTGCTGATATACATAGAAGTCATTATATACAATTCTTTAAGAAGTCTTAAGTATATAGTAACAAAAGAAAGGAAGGGCCCTCAGAAGTTCGGTATTTTTAGAAGTACATACATGCTTTCCTACTAAAACTTGACCAGCACTCGTCATTTACATCGGATGATTTCTAACCTCTTAAATATATCTAGAGAAAAGTTTTATTAAGTTTTCTATGTATATAACCTACAAATTTATTCAAGTATTTTTTTTTTTATAAAATAATGAACCAACTTCATAGAATCTAATTTTGCTTCTATAACAGACAGAAATTATTAAATAATCTCTGAAATTTGCGCAAAAAAACTTAGCAAAAATGTCTTTTCATCATGCAACTAACATAAATATATACTTTATACTTCCGATAATCTATTTTTTACATAACATTATTCCAAAATTGATGATTTTCTACTTACATGTTATTATTTTTAATTATATATTTAAGAAAATATTTTTTTTTTTTATTAAAATGAATAAAAGTTTTTATTAAAGAAATTTTTTGTATAATAATACAAATATTGCCAGAGTTCTTAAAATTTGTAACGTTAAAGGAATCTCACTAAATGCACTAAAGTGGAATTAACGTTACGTAAGTATCAGTTGATAAAATTGAAAAAAAAGTATGTGCCGGTTCACACAGGGAAACTTTTTTAAAACGGTTACCAATACATATTTGATTTATACAAAATATTTATTCAATTCATTATGATAAACAATTTCGATTAATTAATACCATTAGTTATAAAGTTCTCATAATTAAATTAGGTTTTATAAAACACATGTAAATATACTAACAATTATACAAGAATATATGTATTATTATAAATCTCTTTTTTTTTTTTTTTTTTTTTAATTTAGTTTTTATTGAACAAAAAATTTTTTTAATATTACATTTCATTATTAATAGACCTCGCGAAGCCAGTACGGCTTGTCTGCAGGTAAGGATAATACGAAAATGTTAAAAATTCATGTTAACATAACCATATTAATATATAAAGTAAAAAATTATAAAATTTATAAGATGTTTTTCAAAAATGTGGAGTATTCATTGCTGGCTGATGAAGTGGGTTTTAAGAATTTTCTTCCTTCTGTTGCTATTGTTGGCTTCTGTTAGTACCGCAATAGGGATGTTATTAAATATTGTTGGTATGAGAACTGCAAGTGTACTTTTTCCATATTCATTACTATATTGTGGTACAATATATCTTCCTTCTACGTTCCTTCTGGTTCTGTAATTATGGTTGATTTTATGCAGGAATCTGGACGAGTTGAAGAATTCAATAGCTAAAGTTGTTTTGAATATATTTTTAACATTGAGGATATTTGTGTCGTTAGCAATGTTAATGTTTGATATTGTTGATGTGTTGTTGTTTGTGTTGTAATTTCGTTGGTTATTATTTGTATTTAATATTTTTAATAGTTGATTTTGTATATTTTGAAGCTGTGAGCAATGTGTAGAGTTGCCCCAGGCTGTAATACCATGACGAATTTGGGATTCGGCGAGAGAAAAGTAGACTTGTCTCAGCACAAGTTTACTTGAGCAGTAGCTTAGCCTATGCAAAATATACGCCACTTTACGGAGTTTTTTGCGAATATCTTCTATGTGGAATTTCCATTTGAAGTTCTGGTCAACGATAACTCCTAGGTATCTATATGTATTTACAATTTCAATTGTGGTTGAGCAGCTGTCAAAGCTATAATTGAAGTTTCTGAGCTTATTGTTGTGAAGACATTCGTAACTGTGAAATCTAATTTGAACATCGGTATATAGATAATGTCGAGGTTTGATATGCATTAGTTTAGTTTTAGATGCGTTTATAATTAGACCATAATCATGGCACCATCGTATTGCTATATCCAGTTGATGTTGCAGTATAATAGTAGCGTCGTTTATGTTTTTGTGAGCAACTACAATGGCAGTGTCATCTGCGTATGCGAATGTGTTTGCTATTTTTAGAGTGTTAATTAATTCGTTCGAATAAATTATGTACAGTATTGGGCCTAATTTAGAGCCCTGAGGGACACCATGTTCAACATTAGTTGCATTACTGAGATTTCCGGAGATTTTAACGCAATATTTTCGTAGATTAAGGTAATTTTTAAGTAGCTCCTGGCTATGTCCTCCAAAGCCAATCTTCTCTAGCATTACCAACAACTTCTTGTGACAAAGCGTATCAAACGCTTTGCTAAAATCAATAAATAAAGTTAGACAGTGGTGATTTTTGCTCAAATCTTCGTTGATGAACTGAGAAAAGTTTCCAAGCAACTTATTAATGTTTTTTCCTTTTTGGAATCCAAATTGGTTCTGATTGATGATGTTGTGCTTATTAGTATATTCAGTTATTCGCCTACATAAAATTTCTTCCATAATTTTTTCAATTACCGGTAATATGGCGATTGGTCTGTAATTATTGAAGTCTGATTTAGACCCATTTTTATATATTGGGCGAATATATGAAATTTTTAAGGTCTCTGGTACAATTGTTGTTTCAATAATAGCATTAATTAGTTTTGTTATAACCGGTGTTAAAATTTCTGTATTATTTTTTATGTCTATTGCCCTGATTCCATCATAACCCGCACTTTTTTTAACATCAAGTTTATTAATTATGTTAAAAATTTCCTCATTATAAGTATAATGTAAATAAAAAGAATTCAAAGTTTCGATATGGGAATGTTTTATAGTTTCAATTTCACATTCATGTAAAATATTTTGAACGTTTTGTTTAAAATTTTGTGCAAAATTGTTGCAAATTTCGTTATAATTCATATTTTTAAAGTTTTTTATTAATGTTTCATCAACATTATTTGTTTTTTTGCCAATTACTTCATTTATAAGTTGCCACGTAACCCGTATGTTATTTCTGTTCTCAGCAAATTTTGATTTGTAATATTGATTTTTAGCATACTTAAGTTGTTTGTTTAATGAATTTCTAAATTTTTTATAATCGTATTCGTATTTTTTATTATTTTTGTTATTAGACCATTTCTTATAAAGTTTATCCCTAATTTCACACTTTGTTTTCAATGTTTCATTAATCCATGGATTAGATATTCTGTTTTTCTTTTTTGTTGTAATTATACTAGAGTTTTTGTATATATTGTTAAATTTATCATGAATTGAATTAAATATTTCGTTTGGATCTGAGAGGTTTATTATATCTTGCCAATTCGTGTTTCTTATTTGACGATTAACTTTAACGTTACATATTTTTGTTTGCTGGGTAATATTTTTGTTTACATTTTGTTTTTCTTTCGACTCTGAGAGACAAAAAATGAGAGCAAAGTGGTCAGATATTTTTGTTTTTATTATTGATGAATATGCATGTGTGTATATTTGTTCATACCTAACGAGGATATGATCAATGCATGTTGTCAATTCAGTACCATAGTAATTTAATTATAAAAGTTAATTTTTACTTGCTTTTACTATATTGTTTTCCACTATTCTGTATTGAAATCTAATACATTGTAACAGGAGAATCTAATTAGAATTTATTTCATTCTAATATACATTTTCCCGTACAAATTTATTATGTTACATTCAAAAAAAATACGAAGCTTATACAAAGAAAATCGAACCAAAAGTCTATAGTCTAGTCTATAGCCTAGTCTATAGTCTAATCTATAGTCTGCCAAATTATCAACAACTAATAGTCGCAGAGGAAATGCAAATAATGTGGCAATATCAAGAAAACTAAAATATGCAAATGTATACTTTTATGGTGTGGACTCTTTGACACGTTTCACAATAGACTAGACTATAGCCCAGTCTATAATCTAGTTTATAGTCTAGTTTATAGTCTAGTTTATAGTCTAGTTTATGGTCTAGTTTATAGTTTAGTTTATAGTCTAGTCTATAGTCTAGTCCATAGTATAGTCTATGGTCTAGTCTATAGTCTAGCTATAGTCTAGTCTATAGTCTAGTCTATAGTCTAGCTATAGTCTAGTCTATAGTCTAGTCTATAGTCTAGTCTATAGTCTAGTCTAGTAGTCTATAGTCTAGTCTATAGTCTAGTCTATAGTCTAGTCTATAGTCTAGTCTATAGTCTAGTCTAGTCTAGTCTATAGTCTAGTCTATAGTCTAGTCTAGTCTATAGTCTAGTCTATAGTCTAGACTATAGTCTAGACTATAGCCTAGTCTAGTCTAGTCTAGTCTATAGCCTAGTCTATAGTCTAATCTATAGTCTGCCAAATTAGCAACAACTAATAGTCGCAGAGGAAATGCAAATAATGTGGCAATATCAAGAAAACTAAAATATGCAAATGTATACTTTTATGGTGTGGACTCTTTGACACGTTTCACAATAGACTAGACTATAGCCCAGTCTATAATCTAGTTTATAGTCTAGTTTATAGTCTAGTTTATGGTCTAGTTTATAGTTTAGTTTATAGTCTAGTCTATAGTCTAGTCCATAGTATAGTCTATGGTCTAGTCTATAGTCTTGTCTAGTCTATAGTCTTGTCTAGTCTATAGTCTAGTCTATAGTCTAGTCTATAGTCTAGTCTATAGTCTAGTCTATAGTCTAGTCTATAGTCTAGTCTATAGTCTAGTCTATAGTCTAGTCTATAGTCTAGTCATAGTCTAGTCTATAGTCTAGTCTAGTCTAGTCTAGTCTAGTCTAGTCTAGTCTAGTCTAGTCTAGTCTAGTCTAGTCTAGTCTAGTCTATAGTCTAATCTAGTCTAGTCTAGTCTAGTCTAGTCTATAGTCTAGTCTATAGTCTAGTCTAAAGTCTAGTCTATAGTCTAGTCTATAGTCTGGTCTATAGTCTAGTCTATAGTCTAGTCTATAGTCTAGTATATAGTCTAGTCTATAGTCTAGGCTATAGTCTAGTCTATAGTCTAGTCTATAGTCTAGTCTATAGTCTAGTCTATAGTCTAGTCTATAGTCTAGTCTATAGTCTAGTCTATAGTCTAGTCTATAGTCTAGTCTATAGTCTAGTCTATAGTCTAGTCTATAGTCTAGTCTATAGTCTAGTCTATAGTCTAGTCTATAGTCTAGTCTATAGTCTAGTCTATAGTCTAGTCTATAGTCTAGTCTATAGTCTAGGTCTATAGTCTAGTCTATAGTCTAGTCTATAGTCTAGTCTATAGTCTAGTCTAGTCTAGTCTAGTCTAGTCTATAGTCTAGTCTATAGTCTAGTCTATAGTCTAGTCTATAGTCTAGTCTATAGTCTAGTCTAGTCTAGTCTATAGTCTAGTCTATAGTCTAGTCTATAGTCTAGTCTATAGTCTAGTCTATAGTCTAGTCTATAGTCTAGGTCTATAGTCTAGTCTATAGTCTAGTCTATAGTCTAGTCTATAGTCTAGTCATAGTCTAGTCTATAGTCTAGTCTATAGTCTAGTCTATAGTCTAGTCTATAGTCTAGTCTAGTCTAGTCTATAGTCTAGTATAGTCTAGTCTATAGTCTAGTCTATAGTCTAGTCTATAGTCTAGTCTATAGTCTAGTCTATAGTCTAGTTTATGGTTTAGTCTTTGGTCTAGTCTATAGTCTAGTCTAGTCTATAGTCTATAGTCTAGTCTATAGTCTAGTCTATAGTCTAGACTAGTCTAGTCTATAGTCTAGTCTATAGTCCATTCCATAGACCAGTCTATAGTCTAGTTTATAGTCTATAGTCAAAATATATTCAAGTCTATAGTTCACAGCATATTCTTGTTCATAACCCCGACTATAGCCTATTTTATTGTCTAGAATATACTCTTGTTTATATGTAGCCCAACCTGTATTCTAAACATTAACAAATATATTTACAAACTTACCGTTGACTTGTGTGATTCCGATCCGATTCCTCATTGTCCAACTATTGTTGTAGATTCTACTTATAATCTTTCTGGACAAATATATGGGACTGTTCAATGTTTAGAACGAAGTGGCTTGGAAAAACCACAATAGTTTTGTTGGACATAAATGGCTTGATACTGGACATGTTGTGGTGAGGTGCTGCACAAGAGCCACAATAGTTCAGTTGAATACAATACTGGACTTGTAACGGGAAGGTGCTGAGAAATATATAGAATTGTATTCTAGTTATAAACATATAATCATGTAGTATCGTCTCTTGTCTAGTCTAGAATCTTGCTTAGAATCTCCTCTACGATATTATCTATAGGTTCTCTTACAACTGCAATAGTCTCGTTTTGACGTCTATGGACATTTCTATCGTTACGAATATTAACTATTCTACAGTCTATTCCTATATCCTCTACTATCTAGTCTCTACTCTTTAGTATCGTCTAATAATCTACAACTTGTATAATAATCTGATGTATATGTATATCGTCTTATTTATACGCTCTGAACGATAAATCTTAAAATTTTCCTCAGACAAAGAGTTCCGATTTCTTGCTAGTCTGATCGAATTTGTACAAATTACCTAACGGCTAGTTCAATATTAAAACATAAAAATACTTACAAATCTATTAAGATTCCTGTTGGGCGAGATCAACCAAATCGAAGCGATTTATTCAGTAATATTGAGTATTTTTTAGATTTCCCCATTTTTAAATAAAAATTCTATAGAAAATATTTCAATTGTATTTTCGAAAATGAAAACTTCAAATTTTGCGAACTTAACTGATACGACTTTAACTTGCAATTAAAATTTAGTAATGAAATTTTATCGCACACTAAAAAAGGGGTTTGAACCCATACATTTTTAAAGAATATGAAATTCAAAACTTGATAACACAACACTTTTAGTAAAATTAAGGTTAGTGCTTTAGTTCGTTTTGCTTATCATTAATGCTGACCGCAACAAAAAAATACCAGCGCCCAAAAAAATGGGTGAAGTCATTTAAGATTAAATAGCTGGTAGTTTAAGTTAAAATAATTATTTCTTTTTAATTTAACGACGAATAAAACATCTGATTCTCAGAAGTTTGCGATTACCTTTTGTAACAATAAACCAAGATTTTCCCCTAAAACTCATCGGTTAGTTTTTGAAAGATCCCTTCCCCCTTTGTACAAAGTGTCTTTATACCAAGTGGTAATTTCTGCACTATCTAATCTAATTATTTGATATTTAGATAATATATAATATAAATATTGGGTGTGTAGGGTAGTTCCCCATTTCTTAATACTGATTTCAAATAAGCAACAAATAATTATAAATAGATTATTTACGATTCTGTTATTGATTAAATTTAATAATTATGTATATAAATGTATATTAGTATGTCCAGTGAACAACATTATTCAAACGATAAGTATTAATGTACTGAACACGAGAAAAATAAAAAAAGTATAATTTGTTCAAAAAATATTGTCTGCAACCTTTTCAAAATATTTCTCAAACTATACTTTGGACTAGACTACAGTTTGGACTATATACTAGACTATATTTTAGATTCTGGGCTATAATTTGTGCTATAGTCTGGACTATTAAAGTTTGAACTATAGACTAGGTTATAGCCTGGACTGCAATCTAGACTCTAGACTATAATTGGAACCATAGACTATAGTTAGCTCCATTGTCTAGACAGAATAATGGACTAGACTAAAGTCAAGACTATAGATTAGACTATATTCTGGACTATAGACTAAACTATAGTCCATAGACTAGGCTATGGTCTGAACTATAGACTAGACTTTAGCCTGGATTAAAATGTTATTCGCGACTATCTTCTAGTCTGTACTATAGTCTAAACTCTGGACTATAATCTAAACTCTTGACTATAGTTTGGACTATAGTCTGTACTATAGACTAGTTTGGATTATAGACCAGGCTAGACAAGATAATAGACTAGACTATAGTCTGAACTGTAACTAGACTATAGTATGGACTATAGACTAGGCTTTAGTCTGGACTATAGACTAGGTTGTTATTCGAGAGTATAGTTTAGTTGGACTAAAGTCTAGACTCTGGACTATAATCTAGACTCTGGATTATAGTCTGCACTATAGACTAGATTGAACTACAGACAAGACTATACTTTGGACAATAAACTTGACTATAGTTTGGATTATATACTAGACTATAGAGTCTAGATTCTGGGCTATAATTTGTGCCAGAGACTATAGTATTGACTATTGAAGTTTGATCTCGTATGGAACAGACTATAATTGAAACAGACAGACTATAATTTAAATTATAGACTAAGTTATAGACTGGACTACAGTCTAGACTCTGGACTATAAACTATATTATGGACTAAGGATTAGTCAACCTAGTTTATATTCTGTGCTATAGACTAGTAAGTAATTACTTTACAGTAGTCTGGACTATAGACTAGCCTATAGTCTGAACTATAGTCTGGAGTATAGAACATAGTCTGGACTGTAAACTAGGCTATAATCTAGACTATAGACTAGACTATAGTACAGACTAAAGTCTAGTCTATATTCCAAACTATAGCCTAGTTACAGTTCAGACTATAGTCTAATCTCTAGTCTATAGTGCAGACTATAGTCCAAACTATAGTCAAGAGTCTAGATTATAGTCCAAAGTTTAGACTATAGTCCAGACTAAACTATAGTCTCGAATAACATCCTAGTCCAGGCTAAAGCCTAGTCTAAAGTTCAGACTATAGCCTTAGAATTAGTATGTTCATTCTCGCTTAGTGTCCTCAGCAGGCGAGATAATCGTCTATTCACCTATATAATGGACAATTCACCTATATAGTAGACAACTTCATGTTATGAGATTTCCGTTCAGAGTCGAAACCTTCACTTGTATTTAAAAGAGGTTTCTCCGAGTGCATCTTTCCTTTCCTTTTGGCATTCCCCCGACTAGGCTATAGTCCACATTATATCCTAGTCTATAGTAGGGAACGTGATAGATTTATGCAAAAAAGTAAACCCATTCAAATGGCAAAATTGTCGATGGGGAGGAAAATAATTTTTGACTAATTTGAGCGACAATCTTCTTTACACTTTATCTTCTTATTAAGTACTTAATAAGTTGTTAAAAAAGCTTTTTTAAAAATTTCTCTTTTATCATATGAACGAAAGAGGTAAACATTTTTAACGAAACTAAACAGAGTGCAGAAGAGGCCAAATTAAACGGTCGATTAGTAAAGCGGATGTACTATCGGTGAGTTGTTTTCATTATTTATTTAATGTTAAACAATTATAACCTGTTTAAATTTTTGAAATACATAAATAAAGTTAAAGATACTGTTTGAAAACATTGATCCGCAACAAATTATACTATTAACAGTGTATACTATTTAACAGTTTCAGGTTTAATTATGAATCGATCCTCAGAGTTTGAAATTATTTATTACATTAAATGATTCATTATTTTTTTAAATATTTCCAGATACTTGCAATGGTGGAAGAGTGTAAAATTTGCAATCAATATAGATTTAATAACATTTCAATAGATACTAAATATAATAATGACACCATATTAGCTGATATAATTAGCGATTTATGTGGGATCAAAGCAAATGCCCGAAATCCCATAAAACAATATGTATGCCGAAAATGTGCTGAAGATATTATATATGCAAGAAAAATTCGTGATAAAATCTTAACAAGTTTAAAACGTTTCGATCCGCTTTATAAAATTGAGAATGATAATAATAGTAAGACTCCTAATAAAAGATATATATATATAAGGTTGTATCCGTTAATTCGTTGCATCTTGTGGAAAAGAAATGTGATATGTGCCAAGCTGAAAATGAGGATAATATATCAGTGTTTGAAAGTTATTTAGATCATAAATTGTCTGAATTAATTTTCGATCTGTCAGGACTTCATTTGAATTCCAATGTTGTAAAATCTGGATATTTTTGCAAAAGATGTGCTGAGGAAATGAGAAACGCAAATGAAATACGTGAGAATGCTATATGTTTGACAGAATTTGATAGGATTTGCCAAAGTTTCAAATCCAAAAAACACTTAGAGAATTAAAATAATTAATTAAGAAATATTTAAATAAAATTGTAAATAATTCTTATTAATAAATAATATTTAAATTAAAAACAAATAATTACATTACAGAACTAAAAAGTAGCGAAAAGTTTATTCCTATAGATTTTCATTCCATTAGGATTCTAGATGTCTGATTTTTTGTTTCTAGGTTCAAAATTTCAGAAAACCTTCCTATGTTTTCAATATACATTGATGACACCTCTGGGTTAGTTCGCCTAAAGTTATACGATGATATATAGGAAGAATGTCCAATAAAGTGTTCAGAGAGTCTGATGGACTAGTTGCTAGAGCGCCTGCTATTCCAATGCATGCTGATCTTTGAAATCTGTATAGTTAAAGTTATACGAAAATATATAGGAAGAATGTGGAATAAAGTGTTCTGAGCGTGTGGTGGACTAGTTGCTAGAGCATCTGTTATTCCAATGCATGCTGATCTTTGAAATCTGTATAGTTGAAGTTATACGAAGATATATAGGTAGAATATGCATTAAATTGTTCAGAGAGTCTGATAGACTACTTCCTAGAGCACCTGTTATTCCAATGCATGCTGTTCTTTGAATTCTATATACACAGAAAAAACTGAAAATGTGTTTTAATTATCAAATTTATTGTATCAAGTAAGTTTTGCACCTATCAACAAAATGATGATATCAATTATGAAATTTGTAAAAAAATATTTTTTTTTTTCCAATTAAAGAAATAATCAAAACAATTAACATCAGTAATTAAATTCAAATTTTAAAATTAGTTAATTCATTAATTGGATACATTAAATATTTAATGAAATAAAACTTACATTTTAATTAGTTTATTAATCAATTGAATTGAACAGTTTGGTTAAAAATGCATTAAAAATCCATTAAGTCCATGATTGAAACAATCAAAGCATTAATTGAATGCTTACAACATTAAAGGATTATTTTACCTTTAACAATGCGTTAAGCACTATCAAAAATATCTGTTTATTGTCACATTTGAGCAAATAAAGTGATTTATAAATTTTAAAATATTTATGAAACTTTAACTTTTTATGCCTAAAATTTTATTGACTATTCGAGAATTATAAACATTCTTTCCATTATAAATAATGAAATTATTTAAATAAAATATCAAAACAAAAAACCAAAATAAAAAAGTAGGCTGGAAAAACTTTTTCAGCCAATTAAAAAATTTGTTGATTCAATTAAAAGTTTAATCAAATTTATATACTTAGGATCAAAACAATGAGATAATTATTACAATTAAAAAATTGTTTAAATAAAAGTTAAATAAAGAAAAAAACATGTTAATTGGAAATAAACTACCGATAATTTTTTCTGTGTAGTTGATCTACAATAATTTTCTTCTTAGTTGAAGTCCACCATACAAGATATCCGTATGTAAAAATGGGACGTAATATAGCTGTATACATCGATTTAACTATGATGAGACTGAGTTCCCATTTCATCCCAAACATCTTACGACAGGTGTAATAGGCAACCGTTGCCTTCTTGCAGTAAAATTCCCATTTAGTTCATTTAGAAATAAGTATAAGAAGATACCTTTTTGTGACATTGGGTGCGGTTCACACAAGACAAGAACTAGCTAATTAAGTCTGGGAAATTATAGATATATGTATAATTGAAGAGCCGACTAACATTACTTCGTAAAATTAGTTGATCCTTTTAAAACATTACTCGGCAAGCATGGGAAATTAAAATTTTGAAATAGTACTAACTTATGACAAAATAG